AATGAAGTGAGGATATTTTACACTGAAGGACATGAATCTTCAGAATGAGAGGGCCCAGTACAAATGAAAAAGAACCATCCTAAGGCATATCATCAGAAAATGCCAGAATACCAGGGATAAAGAGAAGATCCTGAAAGTTTTGGAGGTAGGGAGAACGGATTATATATACATCATCAGGAATCAGAATGGTTTCAGATAGCTCAGTGGCAGCACTGAAAGCTAGAAGATTAGGGAGCCATGCCTTAAAAATTCTGGTGGAAAATTATTTCCAACATACTATTCCATATATAGTCAAGGAAATTAGAAGTGAGCATAGAATAAAGACATTCTCAGACATGCAAAGATAAAAAATTTTACTTCCTATGTGCCCTTCCTTAGGAAGTGACTAGAGGATGTGTTTCACCAAAATGAGGGCATAGACCAAGAGAGAAAAGACTTGCAAACCCAGAAGCAGACTCTTCAACATAGTAGAACTGGTATGCAGGTGGCCTAGAAAGCAACCAGTCCCAAACTGAAAGGGAGGAGGAAGGCTCCAGAGGGTGAAGCACTAGGAAAACAAAGGGAGCTGATAGCTTCTATGACTATGTGGAAAAAGCATTTTACAGATCTGCTAGAATGTTTGAAGAGATTTAGCAATATGTACATAGAACTAAGCAAATGAGGGGAAAAGGCAACTGTTAACTCCAGGAGAAACAAAAATATGTACAGAAAATAAGTGTAATGATAGTATACCATTTGGTTCAGCAATGGACAATATAAAGTCATAAGAAGGTAAACTTTAAAAGAAATTTATTTATTTTTTAAAAAGATTTTATTTATTTATTTGACAGAGATCACAAGTAGGCAGAGAGGCAGGGAGAGAGAGAGGGAGAAGCAGGCTCCCGGCTGAGCAGAGAGTCCGATGTGGGGCTCGATCCCAGGACTCTGGGATCGTGACCTGAGCCCAAGACAGAGGCTTTAACCCACTGAGCCACCTAGGCGCCCCTAACCCCCAAATTTAATTTAAGAATTTAGCAGTTGCGATTAAACTATATGAAAGGATGGAGAAAGGAAGTGGAGCTGGGTAGTATAAGAGTTAATACTCATCTACTGTATTGGGGGGGCGTTGTGGAAGACATTACTAGTGTCCACTGATACCTGGTCCTTCTTGCTTCGGGGCACATAGAAGACTGTACTTACCCCTTGTAGTTGGGAGCGGCGCCATGGCCAGTCCGGTCCCTAAGCTTTAGGTGGAAATGCTGTGTTGCTGCTAGAAGGAAGCTGAGATGATCCTGCAGCTGTCTCTTCTCCCCCTGTGGTGATCAAGGAGGCCTTGGGTTAAGATGGCAGAACCACAAGATTGAAACGGGGCTGGCATTGCCTCATGGGATATAGTCCCAGAGATGCTGCATGGACTCTGCAAGGATGAGAAAGAAACCTTTATAGTGTGAAGCCACTGAGATTTTGGGCTAATTTGTTACTGCCATGTAGCCTGGCTTACCTGATACAAACTTCAACATGTACTGTGTGAAACTGATAAATTAGGAAAATTAAGAAATAGCCATAGAAACATGTTATTTAGAATTATGGAGATGATCACCAGAAGAATAAAAATATTAAAAGTGGTGGCCTCTGGGGAGCAGGAAAGAGGAGTGAGTAACCTGTATTCATTATAACACTATATGACTTTTTTTTTTACACAATATAATTGTATTACATTGGCAGAAATAACACTTTATAAAATCCTGTGTGTGTGTGTGTGTGTGTTGAAAGGATTCCCACCAAACCATTACAGTGGCTGTCCATAGCAGGGAGGGCATGCTAGACTGGACATCTGAGGAACTATGGATGTGGCTGGGCATGGAAGGCCCTGTGGGAAAGGTGGCCACCCGGATGGATTCCAGTCTGAGGAGTCTGATTTTCATCCAGATGGCGGTGGGGAGCCGTGGAAGAACTGGAAGCAGTAGAGTATCCTGAGCAAATGTACTTTTGTAGTGGGCCCCCTGACTTACCTGGATGATGAATTGTTGGGGGGAGAGGGGGCTGCGTGGTCTCTGGGAGAGCTGATGAGGCCTCCCGACTAAGACCTGGTTCTAACAAGTGTCTGTCAAGGGCCTGCCATTTTCCAGGCGCTATTGGTAAATGCCCAGCCATTTAGCAGGGAACAAGAGGGACCGATCCCCCCCGCCTTCGGGGAGCATACATGGGCGAGAGAGGCAAATGTGGAGGAAAAAAAGTAAAAGTCAGGTGGTGGCTCGTGCTGTAAAGAAAAATGCATCAACTTGAGACAGAGAGATGGGGCGGGGAGGGGTACTCTACATAGGGTGGCCAGCTGTGGGCTCCCTGAGAAGGTGACATTTGAATAGAGCCCTGACTTAAGAGAAGGAACAAGCCATGTAAAATGTGGGGTTCCAGGCAGAAGGAACAGCGGCCCGGAGGACCTGAGGTGGGAGTAGGCTTGATATGCCAAGGCACAGCAAAGAAGTCCATCGTGGGGGTTCGGGGGCGGGGCCCATCCATCAAGGGGAAAGTTCTGGGACCAATTCATGGAATAGGGAGAGAACCTCAGGGAGCCACTGGTGGGTTGAGAGCAGGAGAGCGGCCTGATTTGTCTGAGGAGGCCAGTAGGGCCAGGCCTGGCAGCCCTTTGGCTGGGGGCGGGGGGGGGGGGGGGGGGGGGTGGGCGGGCTTTTTAGGAGGGGAGCGGAGCCTCTGGGGCTCTGCCCAGCCGTCAGTGCGGTGCCTCTCAGGCCGCCTGGACCAGCGACAGCAGCTTCATCACCCACTTCCCAGCATCCCAGCCCCCTCGGGGAATTGAAGGATCCTCACAAATCAAAATAGCAGGCAAAGAACAGCCTCTAATTGTTCCGCGTAAAAGAAGCGAAATTAGACGAGTCAGCTGTGGGCTTGAGACCGCCTCCCACACAGCTGTGATCCCGCACCCCGCGGAAGACAGACTTCCCGAGACTTGAAATTCTGCTGTCGCCGAGCAAAACTTTTTGCTTCTCCAGCCCCAGGACAAATGACAGCTATTTGGGGAGGGAGTGGGACAGATGCTGGCCCTGGAGGACAATGAGTGAATCAGAATTAAAAAAAAAAAAAAAAAAAGAAGAATCAGTCCCTTCGTGAAGGAGCAGCCCTAGCTGGTGTGGATTTGTTCCGTCATTCAGAACACATAGAAGGCACTTGGTGTGCCATCATCAGCTCTCACAGGGGCCCAAGCCTGGGCGTGGTAGCATGGGATTTCCAGAGCAGTGGAGGCATGCGGTGTGGTTCCACCCTGGGGGTAGAGTGGGGAGAGAGCACTGGTCCAGGAGTCAGGAGGTCTAAGTTCTTGCCTTGGCTCTGCTGCTGTGTGACCTTGGGTAAGTCATGTCACCACCTCCGTGGGCTTCAGTTTTCCTGTCTTTTCTCTATGGGCTTTAGGCCACATAGTGCTTCTCAAACTTTAGAGCCTTTAAGAGTCATTTGGGGGTGGTGCTTGTTAAAGATGAAGATTTCCAGGGTGCCTGGATGGTTCTGTCGGTAAAGCATGTGACTTTTGATCTCGGGGTCATGAGTTCAAGCCCCATGTTGGTAAGATTTAGTAGGTCTGGGGTGGGGTCTACGAGTCTCCTATTCCAGGAATTCTGAAGGGAGTCCTTGGACCACACTTCCATAAAATCATTTTCCCTCAATCTCTCAGGGCTCCTCCTGCTCGGAAATTTGAGGAGTCACTCATGCAGCCCTTCTCTGGGTTTCTCACATCACTCTAGGGACATGAAAGCAGTCCTTGTCCCCCATTGATATACCTGTATGTTCCTGCGGTGATCACGCTGCACCGGGACAGTGTGTCTCCGTGTATGGAGCCTCTTCCAGGCTGTCCGCTGCCCAGCGCAGGCCCGGTACAGAGGGGGACCATGACAGACATGATGGCCCAGCAGGGGGCTAGTGTGGTGCAGGAGGCCGCAAAGCAGAGTCGGGCATGGAGGGGTGTTTCAGGTGGAGGGGGGCTCAGTTGCACACATCTGGCTTGGATACCTGGGCTCATGCCCTGGGTTGGATGTGTGGGTGAGTCCAGCTGCCTGGGGATGAGAAGGTCTGGATGGGACCACAGGAAGAACTGGGAGCCCTGGCCCTCCACAGAGGGCACCCCTGGAGGTCTGAGGCCTCACCCAGTCTGCTAGGCAGAGTCCCTTCCTCAGAGCTGGCCAGTCGTATTTCCCAAATATCAGTGGCAGAAGCCAGAGGCTCAGGTCACTCTGGTCCAGTACCCAGCTTCATCCTTCATAGATGAAGAATAGTAACTGTCAGATACTGAGCACTTGCCAGGGCTTTGGCTTCAGGGCTAAGTACTAGATCATCCCGTTACATTTCACATCACCACCCCTCCCTCTTTTTTTTTTTTTTTTTTACAGTTACAGATACTGATGCTTAGAGAGTTCACATTACTGGCCCCTAGTCCCTCAGTTAATAACTAGTAGAAGCGGGGTTAGAACCTAGACCTGTTTTCCTCTGGAGCCCAGGTTTTTTTTTTAAACCATGTTGCTTAGTACCCCTCAGAAGAGGAAGGGCTTTTCCTAAAATACCTTCTGCCAAAGTCAGCCACAGTCAGAGAAATCCTTTTGCATCTGTTATAGTGAAAAAGGGGTGATGTGGAGTCAGGTGGTTCTGGGTTCTAGTCCCACCTCTGCCCCTCACCTTTAGCATGACCTTGGGCAAATCATTTCTTCCCCCTGAGTATTTTCTTAAATTTTTATTTTATTTTTTATTTTTTAAAGATTTTATTTATTTATTTGACAGAGATCACAAGTAGGCAGAGAGGCAGGCAGAGAAAGAGGAGGAAGCACGCTCCTTGCTGAGCAGAGAGCCCGATGCGGGGCTCAATCCCAGGATAGATCATGACCTGAGCCAGAGGTCATGGCTCTGAAGGCAGAGACTTTAACCCACTGAGCCACCCAGGCGCCCCCCCCACTCCCTGAGTCTTAAGTGAAACTGAAATCTGTGAAATGGAAATAATTACACACACGCTTGTTTTGAAGGTACACTAAGATGAAGACAGCCACCAACATCTACATCTTCAACCTGGCCTTGGCGGATGCATTGGCCACCAGCACGTTGCCCTTCCAGAGTGCTAAGTACCTGATGGAGACATGGCCCTTTGGGGAGCTGCTCTGTAAGGCTGTGCTCTCCATCGACTACTACAACATGTTCACCAGCATCTTCACCCTCACCATGATGAGCGTTGACCGCTACATTGCCGTCTGCCACCCTGTCAAGGCCCTGGACTTCCGCACGCCCGCCAAGGCCAAGCTGATCAACATCTGCATCTGGGTCCTGGCCTCGGGTGTGGGTGTCCCCATCATGGTCATGGCTGTGACCCGCCCCCGGGGTGAGTGAGTGCGGAAGCTGTGGTACAGGCCACTGACCCCCCGGGTTCAGCATGGGGGGCCCCTGCGGGAGGTGTGCATTCCCGACCAGTGGAAAGTGTGGCCGGCTGGCCAGTGAGAGTGTGGGGAGTCAGCCGATGGGAGTGTGAACAGTTGTTGTGAGGATGAATGATTCAGCAGCGGGCAGATGGGTTGCTGGTCAAAGGAAATGTATGAATGGGGTTGTGGAGAGGCGGGCTGTGGGCGTGCAGTCCCTGGCCAGGAGTGTGTGGGGATGACTGACTTAAAGGGAGATAGACAGAGGCCACTAGGGCGAGAGTGTCCCTGACCAGTGAGCCGTGGAGGCCGTAAGATCTGCAGTCTCAGCCCAAATGCCCTTCCACCCCAATGTGAAAACCACTGGCCCAGCTGACCAAGGCAAGGCCCTAGAGAATAGCCTGCAGAGAGTGACAGGTGCGTGTCCTCAGAGTGAGAATGGTCACTAACATAGTAGCAGCTCGTGTCAGTCAGGGCAGCAGCTGTAACAAGCCATCTCCGGAGTTCAGTGTTGAACGGTACAGAGGTTTATTCCTCACATTACCATGGAACGTGAGCTGGAGGAGGAGCTCGATTCCACAGTTCTTCAGGGAACCAGGCGCCATGTGGTGGCTTTGGAATCCTCCCCTGCTGGCATTTGGCCAGCAAATGAGTACGGAGAAGGAGTGATGAAAGAGCATGGCCAGCCTTGAAATGTTATGGCCCATCGTTTCCTAGTGATGGCTGGTTACATGGTCCCAGCTTGACATAAGGAAGCGGGACAGGTCATATAGCAGGGTGCCAGTGACACAGGCCATTGACCTCTCTGAGCCACACAGTATCATGGGGTGTTGAGAAGTTTAAAGGAGACTATATGTGTAAAATACTTAGGACAAGGGACTCCTACCTTTATTTGACCGTAAGAACATCCAGAATCAGAGAGGTCAGGTGGTTTACTGAGGGTCACAAGCAGGCATTTGGTGGAATTTGACCTATAACCCTCGAATTTGACCTATTGCCCTCATGCCGCCTCTTACTCCTGTTGGCCGCTGAGGTGGAGGTTTGCAGAGGGTCAGTGCTGTGGATGGAAGGGGAGTAGGCCTGGGTGGAGGCGTTTTGACCACCCTTAACCCCTGCAGAGGCAGAGCCCCAGGTGCCCTCACACAGCTGCTGTGCAGTTGGTCTTGACTCAGCAGCTGGGCCCCATTCCTCACTGTCAGCCTTCAGTTTATGGGCCATTAACTGCAGCCCTGCTGGGGGCCGGACCAGATGGGCCTCCTCACTGCACGCTCCATCCCCTGCACACGCTCCCCAACTCAGCACTTCTTGGTTCTGTATGTAACTTGCTGTGTGACCTTGGACAAATGCTGTTCCTCTCTGAACCTTGTTCTGCCATCTGCTCAAGAAAGTCCTTGGACTCAGTCAGCCCTGGGAGTCCTGCCATCCTGCTGTCCAGAGGACCCACTGTGTGGATCCCCAGTACCCTTCCTACAACTCTCAGGCGCCAAGTTCACTGCCTGGCTCCTCAAAACCCAAGGTTCCAAGGGACCTTGGGAGTTCCCCAGGTCAGTTTCAGGCTGTGTCTGAATCCAGAAACATCCCTAAGGTGCTCCTCCAGCCCACACCCACACTCCAGGAACAGGGAGCTCATTCCATCCTGGGTGCACCTCTGGACAAATTCCGCAGTCAGCAAGTTCATCTTGCCATTAAGCTTGGCTTTGTCTCCCTGACCCTAGCCCTGACTTCTGGACTCCCAAATGTATCTGCCTCCCTTTCCTGTGAGTGCACCAAGAGCTTGACCCCCCCCCCCCACCCGCCGCTGTGCTAAATGTTTCACATGCCTGAGCCCATGGAATCCTAACAACCCTGTGAGGTTTAGATACTCTTATTAGTCCCACTTTATGGAAGTTCTCCTGGAGGCTGAACAGTTTGCCAAGGGTCACACCACACAGTTGGTAGGGCTCAAGTTCTGCCCTTAACTCATCATACTCTCTAGATCTGTCTGAGCAGTGTTGTCCTCATTGGAGCTAGTCTGAAAATGAGTAGGGTGTTTTGAGGCCTCACAATGACTGGCATTTGGTGGGTTTGGGCTAAATTATATCATTACTGCGGTCCATGGATGTAGAGGCTGCTAAAGAGAACGGAAGAAAATATAGAAGGGAGACCTCCTAGATTACAGCCAATCCCGCTGGGGTCTTTAAGGATGAGTAGGAGTTCACCAAGTACGGAAGTGTAGGAGGACATTCCGGGCAGAAGAATCACCCTGAACAAAGGCCAGGAGGAGGTGTGGGACTTGACCAAGCCAAGAAGGGTGGCGAGCAGACGGGGTCGCTTCGGCCCCCGCATCCCTCACCTGCTGTCTTTCCTTGCTTCCCCCGCAGACGGGGCCGTGGTGTGCATGCTCCAGTTCCCCAGCCCCAGCTGGTACTGGGATACCGTGACCAAGATCTGCGTGTTCCTCTTCGCCTTCGTCGTGCCCATCCTCATCATCACCGTGTGCTACGGCCTGATGCTGCTGCGCCTGCGCAGTGTGCGCCTGCTGTCGGGCTCCAAGGAGAAGGACCGCAGCCTGCGGCGCATCACGCGCATGGTGCTGGTGGTGGTGGGCGCCTTCGTGGTGTGCTGGGCGCCCATCCACATCTTCGTCATCGTCTGGACGCTGGTGGACATCGACCGCCGCGACCCGCTGGTGGTGGCCGCGCTGCACCTGTGCATCGCGCTCGGCTACGCCAATAGCAGCCTCAACCCCGTGCTCTACGCCTTCCTCGACGAGAACTTCAAGCGCTGCTTCCGCCAGCTCTGCCGCACGCCCTGCGGCCGCCCGGAGCCCGGCAGCTTCAGCCGCGCCCGCGAGACCACGGCCCGGGAACGGGTCACCGCCTGCACCCCGTCCGACGGTCCCGGCGGGGGCGCCGCCGCCTAAACCGCGCCGGCCCGGCCCGCCTAGCGCCCCTCCGGGGTGACCTAGCCGGCACCCGGGGCCCGCAGGGGGCGGGGCCGCGACGCGGAGTGGGGCCGAAGGGCGCCCCTGTTTTGGAGAAGGGGGTCGAGCGGAAGCGTGGCCGGGACCGAGAGGCGGGGCCCTTGCGGTGGGGCGGGCTTCCGGGCTGGGGCGGGGCGAGGGGCGGGGCCTCTGGGCGGCCGGCGCGGTCGGCGGTTTTGGGTCGGGTGCCGGGAACTAGCGACTCTGGGGGAGCGGGGCCTGTGGCTCTGGGACCGGACCGCTAGACGGAACCTGTGCGGCGGGCCAGCCTCAACCTTGGGACAGCCTCGGGTTCTAGCCAGAGCCGGCCTTGCTGGCCTGGGACCTGAAAAAGCCAAGGACCCAGGACCCAGGGGGCCTTGGTGGAGACGGAGGCTTGAGAACAGGGCTGCAAGACTGAGTCTCTCTCTGGTGGTGGGGGGGCCTCTTTTGGGGGCGAGAGGGAGGGACAGGTCAGCCAAGAGGCGACAGCTCAAGACAGGGCCACGAGGTAGGCTAGGGCCACGAGATAGGATGTGTGCAGGGGATGGCGGCCTCAACCTTGGGGTAGAGTCCCAGCCCCGAGTTGTAGCCAGAGGCGGGGTTGCTGAGGTCCAGGTCCAACTGGACTGTCGTCATAAATAGAAAATAGAATCGAGAGGGAGAGAGAAACAATACGCCTTTTCTGTCCTTGACAGTCATTTTCTTGGAATGGCCTCAGCATGGACGTCATGTCCCCCGCACTTTGTGCCAGTGGGGCTTGGGACAGGACAGTGGAGCAGGGCCAGCACCTTCAGGCTAGGATAGCAGGACAGGCCCTCAGCTGGGGTAGGGTCCCCAGCCCCAGGTTCTATGGGGCTCAGAAGGAGGAGGGAGGTCTGGCAGCTCCAAAACCTGAGCTGCCAGGCGGCCTCTGTGCCAAGGGTTGGGGGGTGGGCAGAGGCAGAGGCGAGGCTGGGGAACTTCTGTTTAGACAGTAGGTCCTCAAGCTGGAGGGCAGACGCTTTTGGGGGTCCCCAGGGGCCTGACTTCTTTGCCCAGGTACTGGAGGACAGGAGACAATGCTAGCAAGAGCCCCATGCATGGTAAGTGGCAACTGGGACTGGGTGGGGGCATCTGAAGGACCAGTGTGGACTTTTCTTCCTGCCCATCTTGGGTCTCTAAGAAGAACCTCCAAGAGATCCTCCTCCTTCTCCCAACACCTGGACGTGTCCAAGGTGTCCAGTGTTTACAGGCAGCTGGAACTGCCCACACAGGAGCCTGTCTCTGAAGGAACTGGGAGGAAGAAGGCTTTCCTAACTGATAGGAGTTTTTCTCTTCATGTGTTTGGCATTTTATTCAGGCACTCCCAGATCTTTGCTTTCCTATCAGGGTCTGTCCTTGTTCCCTGTGCCTCCCCCATACTTCACCTCCTCTCCCTGCCCCCTCCCCGCCACAGACACTGCCTCAGTCCCACACCCCTAACTCCCTATTGAAGCAGTGAGCTGACATCCTTGTAGAAACAAATTAATTTTCTTCCCTTTTTGGAACAGATGGAGAGAAACTGACGTCTTTGTCTCAAACCAAAAAAAAAAAAAAAAAAAAAAAGATACCTCTTCTCCCTTTGACAGTCATTTCCTTGGAACAAAAGCCTTTCTCTTGTCTGGGAGACTGTCACTCCAGCAGGGGCTGAACTAGCGTTCAGGAGGTTGAGGGCTTAGGCACCAGAATGGGTGTTGGGCACATTAGGGGTAGGGATACCCTTAGTAGACAAAGCACAGCTCCCCTTTTGGGGTGTGAACCCCAGAAACCCCCAGACCTGGGAATTTGCTTCCTCCAGGCAATGGCTTCAGTAGTACTTTGGAAGATGCAGGGCAGTGCCCAGTGCCCCTGGAGACTTCTGTGTCTGAATGGGAGGGGGGGTGTATCAGCAAGGTGGGGGACCCTCCTGGACACTCCTCTTCATGTGGGACCCCCTGCCTTGGGGAGATGTCAGAGATTGGGGACAATTTAGGGACTGGGGAAGACTTCTGAAGAAGGTGACATTGGATCCAGGCCTGTTGATTCTCTCCGCAAGGACTCTGTCCCCTTCAACTCTCCCTCAAGGCTATTCTGGATCTGCGCCCTGCCGTCTCCCATGGCTAAAACAAATCTGACTGGTTTTTACTACTTCTCATACATAAATGTGTCCCGGGTCCATAGAGTCTGGGTCCAAACCACATGCATTTAAGGTAAAGCGAATTTGTACTGAAATCAACTTGATGCCAGGCTGTGCACCCCAGGGGCTGGGACTCGGAAATAAGTCAGATACAGCTCGGCCCTCAGAAAGTTCATGCCCAGGCTGGGAGACAAGGTGTCAACAGAGCATCATGTGCATGTGATGTGTGCAATGACAGGAAGCCCCAGGGAGGGTGTCTTGGGGAAGTGTTTTCTAGCTTTCTGCTAAGACACATTCGTAGAAATTCTAGAAGAGGTGGAAAAGAGAGGGGCTTAAAGGATGTGTAGGGGTTGGCCACCAAGAAGAGGGAACAGTGTGTGCAAGAGCATGGACATGTTGAGGTGCTTGGCAAACCCGAAAAAAGCTGTGTGCATCTGGAGTTTGGGGCTTAACTGAGCAATTTCGAGTGTCAGGCTCTGCGCTAAGCGCTTCATGCACATCGTCCCATCCGAGCCTCGTGACAGCCCAGGGGAGGTACTGTTACCCTTATTTTAGACCACAGGCTCAGAGGTCAAGCCACTCACCCCTAAGTCACAGAGCCTGTGGTGGAGCAGGCTCAGGTCAGTAGGCCTTCAGGCTCCGAGTTCCTGGTAAATTCCAGGGATCACTGATACAGAAGAGCCTTAATTGCTGGAACTCTGGAATGAGGATTTTTGAAGACTTAAAACCAGGAAAAATCTGAAGGAAAAGGGCAATTTTCCATGAACTTTTGTTCCTCCTGAAGCTCTCCAAACCTTCACATTTCAAAACGTACTGTGTGTGACACATTTTAAAGCTCCAAATTGACAGTGTAATTCTAGATCATCACAGCGCTCTCAGAACCGTGAAGTAGGTTCTGATTCCACCCCTCCCCCCCAGGTTTCCACTCCTCTCTCTTCAGGAGGTGGAGGCAAGCTTTTGCCTCCAGTTTCAAAATGTCCTACAATTACCTGTCTTTTCTTGTGGTGACAGAAGTAGCGGTGAAAGCTGGAGTCAGATTTGGGTTTCCCTCACTGTGCCTCAGTTTCCTCATCTGTAGAACGGACTTCCTTCATGGGCTTGCCGTGAGGACTTAATGAGTTCATTTACAGATAGGGTCCAGATCATAGGTCAGCTCTCAGCACATGGCAAATAGTTGTCATTAGGAACTCTGCTACAGCACGAGGTCAGAACTGGAGACCCAGAGGGAAAGGCAGATGAACTTTCAGGGACAGCAATATAGAGAGAAGAGCCCGGGGACCCAGCCTGAGGATCCCCCTGCTTTCTAGGCTCAGGAGTCACAGCACGGAGAGTGAGACGCTGCTGGAGAAGCAGGAGGAGGTTGGGGAGGATGTGCTGCCATAGAAACTGGAGGAGGAGGGCGTTCCCAACGGGGAGGGAGTGATGGATAATGTCAAGTGTCATATAAGAGAGGTTGGTGGTAGGGAGGGCAGGAGGGTGATGAGAATAAAGCAGAGCCTTCAAGTTCAGTTTCCTACATGGCTTGGGAAGCCCCAAATCTGGATTCAAATCTCAGCACTGAAGCTAACCAGCTGTGTGACCTAGGCAAGGGAGTTGCCCTCTCTGAGCTTTTCTTTTCTCTTCGATCTAAGACAAGGGAATGGGTCAGTCTCTGAGGTTTCGTCTCTGATAAGTGTCCTGATTTTGCTGGGTTCTTGGCTGCTTGCTAGCAGTGGGAGCTCAGGCAGGTCATTTCACCTCCAAGAATCCCATCTGAAGGCTAGAGATATGGCAATTGAGGTTCCTACCAAAATGCCTGGCACCTAGTAGGCCAGTGAATACAGAATTATTCTGTGACGATAGTGGGGAGCTAAGGAGACCTGCTTAGCTTGGAATTTGAAATGTTCCTCAAGGTGGAGAAAGCCACTACTGTCTGGAGAGAACTTGGAGGAGCCACAGTCCAGGCTAGTCCCCCACTAGACCTCTGCCCAAAGGCCAGCCCATCTATTTTCAATGGCAGAGCCTCAGCTGGCCTCTGGCTGCCTTCTCCCACTGGACCTACTACAGATCCAGGCTGGGAACCAGCTCAGAGGCTTCAGAGCCCCTAGGAAGTAATGCCTCCCCCACCCCCAAGGTCATGGTCCCGGCACTCACACACGAAACACTATACACAACTTTCTCTTCTCATTTATGTACTTATAATTATATACTCCTTCACTTCATTCCTGGGCACTGAGCACATAGTGCGGACAGCTCCAGGGAGGGAGCCCAGCTTTGAGCTTACAGATGCTGGGAGACCAGAGGAGACTGGGGTGAGGATCTGGCGGCAGGTGGCTGGGGAGTTCAGAATGGGGCCCTGAGGGGCTGGGGAGAGGCATCGCTTATCCTGACCTGGTCAAGCGCTAGAGCTGGGGGTTGCCCAGGTTCTAGTCCCATCCCTGGCTCTGGCCATGAACCCCACTATGATAATACTAGTATGTGATACACAGCACCTCCCTTTGTTCTAAGCCCTTTACATGGTAATTTACTTAATCTTTGCAGCATGACTCTGAGGCAAGCACTATTATAGTTATTACCCCTACTTTATGGATGAGGAACCCAAGGCTCAGGGGAATGGCCTGTCCAAGACCACAGAGCATGTCCATGGCTGGGCCAGCTAGGATCACATCTTAGATCTGTCAAGTCCACTTACTCTGCTCTTCTCCTTCTGCCTCCCACGAGGAAACTGATGACACAGAGGGCATCAGGGAGACTCCTGTGTCCAGCTCATAGTCCGGGACTGAGCCTTCCCGATGCTGGGTTCTATGCCTCATCATCTTGGCGTCAGACACCTCCCAAGGAATCG